CTATGGCTCCCATCTCTACTTCCCTCCCTCCGCCGTTCGTCGAATCCACCCTGTCGTCTCGCGCTGACGCTGACGCTGCGGAACTCGCCCGCTATACGGCCGACCGGGAGCCCGCTGTTCGTGACCTCATTCGAGAGCACCACGACGTTTTCCCATCATCGTTCTCATACACCGGCATCCCACTGATGCGCGACGTCGAGAATTTCATCCAGTTTGTGTCTGACTATCATGTTCACTACCAGGCACCCTAAATACTCTCGATCCCCGAGGCCACCGAACTCGAGCATCAGCTTGAGGATCTCCTGATAATGGGTTTCATTAAACCCAACAACTCCCCGTGGGTTGCACCTGTCCTCTTTGCTCGCAAATCGGATGAAACTCTCCGTCTTTGCATCGATTATCGCGGCCTCCACCGCTACACGGTTAAGAACACCTACCCCATGCCTCGTTTCGACGAGCTCTTCGATCGCCTAGTAGACAACCGCTTCCTTACAAAGATTGATCTCCGTAGCGGTTACCATCAGATCCGCGCCGCTATAGCGGACCAGCCGAAGACAACGTTCTGATCGCGCTTCGGCTACTATGAGTTTACGTGATGCCATTCCGCCTCACCAACGCACCCGCTACCTTCCAAAGGGCGATGAACGACATCTTCAGAGACATCCCGAAATTGTACGTTCTCGTCTACCTCGACGATATCCTGATCTACAGTCGTACCCTTGAGGAGCATCTAAGACACACTCGCGACGTCCTTGACCGCTTGCGCAAACATGACTTCTACGCCAAGCTGAGCAAGTGGCGCTTTGCCCAACACAAAGTGGATTTCTTTGGACACTACGTGTCTGACAAGGGTCTCCACATGGACGACGCGAAGATCACTGCTATCGCGGAGTGGCCTGCCCCCACATCCGCCAAGCAACTTCGCAGCTTCCTAGGCCTCACTAGCTACTATAGTAATTTCATCCAGGGATACTCTAGGTATTCCTACATTCTTACCTCCACTCTCCTCCGGAAGAACCCGCCATGGGCTTGGACACCCCTCCACGAGGATGCCTTCCACGCCCTCAAAAAGGCGATGACTACCCGATTTTGATCGCCTTTTTATCCTTACCACCAATGCGTCAAACTTTTGTTGTAGGAGCAGTGCTTTCTCATATTTTCCCCTCCTTTCTGATTCCTCTCATCCTCACATCCCTCGCTTCCCACCTCCTACCCCTACCATTGCTTCCGGCTTGACGCCTACTCGTCTAGCTACTGACGAGACTTCTATTAACTATTCTCCTACCATCGCCGAGGACGGCACTGTCGAGTCTCGCTCAGGTGATTGTCTAATGGCCTTCTACTCTCGTCATCTCCTACCCACCGAGATAAACTACAATGCTGATGAACGTGAGGTTCTCGCAGTAGTTTATGCCGCTCGGCACTGGCGTCACTACCTGCACGGGGCACCATTCACGGTGCGCACAGACAACTCTGTTGTCCAGGTTGTTCTAACAGAGACGAAGCTCACTCCTCGGCAGACTCGCTGGTGGCGCGACCTATTCGAGTTTAGTTTCACCACTGAGCACATCAAGGGTGAGACTAATCGGATCGCAGATGCCTTATGTGGACGCCCTGACCATGATTTGGAGCAGATCCAGCATGCTGCCATCTCGATCACCACCGTCCACCACTCGGTGATCGACAAGTTTCGCACTCAGTACCACCACTGCCTCAACTATTGCAACATTCATGCGACCCTTCAGAGTGGCAAGACCATCCCGAACTACTCTCTCGAGGACAACGGCCTTGTGTTGGTCGCCGAGTCACCGACGACAACCGTCCCCATGTCGAGTATCTCGTACGTTGGAAGGGTTACCCTGATGAGGAGGCTACTTGGGAGCCCCTCGAGCACTTGCAGCATGCTCGCATGTTGGCGCGTGCCTATGACCGTGCTCGTCGTGCTGGGTTGACTGCTCCTCAGCCCACTGACCTTCCTCCTTCTCCCTCGGTTGAGGAGACCGCTGAAGTGGAACCTGCTCCATCTGAGGCAGACCTTCTGCAGCAGCCGGATGCTTTCCACAGTGCACTCGTCGTCGTCCCGCTCGATACGACGATTGACTCTGACTGATCTTCCCACGTCTTTGACTTCTCAGTACTCCATCCACTTCAGTTTTGCCACTTCAGCTCGTTGACGTTGCGGCTCTTCCTCAACGTCATTCCGGACTTCTCATCACGGACGTCATCGGCAACTTCACGGCCTTCGTCATGATCAGCTCTACCTACTTCAAACGTCGTCACTCTCTTACCACCTTACCCTGTACAGTACCCTGGTCGTGTCGCCTGATGGTCTCCTCTAGTCGGGTTCCTCTGAGTTGGGCTCTCCCTTGGTATACGCATAGGCATCGAGACCGTAGCGTTGCCCTGACTTCCCATCTTACGGATCCAGCTCCGACTTCCCCCACCTTAGGAGTCGTTTGCATGATTCCCTTACCCATCACTTTTTCTACCCTCTGCCGGCCCTCACGCCGTAGTTAGGCAGCCTTGGATGCTTCATCTAGGTGCACCCAGTATACCAGGCTCCCTTATTCCCTTGCATGGTCGACCCTCCATAGCGGTTACCCCCTTTAGTCGAGCATTACCCGCCTTGATGGTCTATCTTTTAGGGTCATTGGTTCTGTTCGCTCCAAGTGTCCTACCTCATTGAGCCTGATGACATGTGTCCCCCTGTCATTATGCGGGGATGCCCTTAGGAGTTTATCGACCCCTAGGTTGCATTCGCCACCCTCAGAGACCATCCCACCTTGTGGTTTGCGACACACTTCTCCTGTGACATATGGTTGGCTTGTTGTTGCTTTGTTGCTCTCAGACTGAGGCTACTGCCTCTAACATTTTTAGGATTTAGTTGTTTCTGCTTTTGCTGTTCTTAGGACTTATACACTAGTGAGTTGTTTCTAGAATTTCTAAACTGAGGCTATTGCCTCCAACATTCTAGGATTTAGTTGTCATTACTTTCTGCTTTCCTAGGACATGTATACTAGTTAGTTGCTTCTACTTTCACTTAGGCTGTTAGCTGTGACATTACTGTTTTTTTTTTGTGTCATTTTCTATCCTAGGTTGCATCGCATGAACTCAGCATGGAGCTTGCTCCGCATCTGAGACTACTCAGGTTTTCTTTTTCTTTGATAAAGTTCTGCTTCTTGGCGGAAGCGTGCTTGTATCTAGGCGATCCATCACAGGCCGAGGATCCTGTAGCAGACCTCTGGTTGGCCTGTGAGACCAGCCCCTTGGCCTGTCCTCACAGGCCTGTGTTGTATTCGGGGTAGTCCAGTCCAGGCCGGTACCTCTGTCGGTACCAGCCAGTCCAGTCCAGTCAGTCCGCTGGGGTATACCCCAGCCAGAGTCTGTATTTCGGATCATTCTGCATTCGCACAGTTTGGAGTACGTGCGTTGGAGTCTCGCGTGGGAGCTGCGTTGTGCCATCTTGCTCCACTCTCATCCCTCTATCTCCATCTTTATCCCAGGTGGAGCACCACACCTGGTGTGAGGTCCCCGGGGCCATGTCCCACTAGCGGGGGTTTAGTTTATGTTTCCTGTATTTTTCAACGTGTTCACACCGTGGACGTGGAATTTTCAGATCGGATGGTAGGGAGACCTGCATACTTGAAACCAGAACTAAACCTCGACAAGTGGGGCATGGCCCCCGGCCTCCATCAGATTGTTGTTAACGAATTGTTGAGTTTTTCTTTGAAAGTGAAAAAAATAAATAAAGTTTGAAGGCTCGGCCTACAGGGACCACAATGACTGGCGGGGACCTTGTCCCACTTGCACCGTTTAGTTGAGGCAGCTCAACGGTGCGACAGCTCAAAAAAAATCATTCTAGTTCAAATTCAAATGAGAAATGCATTATAAATGGCACGAATACAATTGTTCTGGTTTTTCTTTTTTCACAATTGGACTGGCATACGGGCCCTTCCACAGCAGCAAATGAAGAGTTGCCAGAATTCTGTACAAAAATGACAAACGGAAGGAGGCTCGTACTGTTTCTCTAAAAAAATGACTTTTGGTGGAACAAGAGGGTCGTTGAGCTAGCTGTCTCGAAAAAAGGGGAACGGAAAGTGGCGAGTGTAGGGGTAGTAGTATTCGAGAGAAAGGATTTACTACTGCTTTTTGTTGTAAGAAAAAGCAAAGATAGTCTCTTTTGCCATTTTTTATTAAAAACGGACCACTAGATGACTTGGACCACATGCATCTCCGTTGTAGCGTACAGTCACACAGCGTCGAAAACCCAACCGTTACATTGACCTAGCTCAACGGAGCTGGTGGGACAAGGTCCCGGGGCAGCCCAAAAAGACAAAAAGTGCGCTGCTGGCGGTTCGAAAAAGCTTGGCGCGCGCAGTAGGGCACCAGCAGGCCCGGGTGTACTGGTGGTTCAAGGCCCCGGGTAGTTGCACCACTCGCCATTGGCGACCTTCGTGAATGCATCTGGACATCAAGTGAATTCGCAACCTTGGGGAATGCCATACAATTAGGCCCTAATGCAGGAGTGCAACTCTGGCTTAGGGCCAGATCCCACTGGCAAACAGGATTGGAATAAGTGGCTGAATCTGGATTTCCGCACAGAGATGGAGAAAAGCAGAACAGTCACAATTTTTTGCACATCTCCACAAGCACGTCCAGATTCAGACTCTTTTTCCCATCCTCTTTGCCAGTGGGATCTGGTCCTTAACCCCGAGAGCTGCCCCAAAAGAAAGCAGATAATGTTTCTTGGTGATGGCATCTCAGATTGTGAACAGACAAAAGAAGGGGGGGGGGGGGGGGGGGGCGTAGGGGGGGCGGGTGATAACAGATGAGGTATATTAGGCGCTTCATCGCAAGGAAAAATAAATAAAAAGTTTGCTCGTCCTTAATTAGTAAATTAGAAAGTTACAATATGGCGGCGGACTCCACTTGAGGGGCGTGCTCTTATCACGTCCTCTAGTGGGCTGACGCTGACTTCAAAAAAAAAAAACGCTTCTTACCTACGATGAGAGATCTGATCTTGATTTTTTCCGAGGGCATCCCGAAACGAATTCCGTATTGATCCCATCCACTCTTAATACTGATGGCATCACCGGCGGTGCTGATGTGGCAATCCTCCACAATGACACGTCGGCAAGAATCTGACAAGATCCGGATGCATATCACCACAAGAGAAAAAAGAAAAAAGAAGAAAAAAAGAAAAAGAACTCACTGTCAGTGATAACGCCCGGGACAGAAAGCAGGATTTTTTTTCTTCGCTCTGAATAATAACCTCGTATTGCAAGTTGCCAACCATCATCACACACACACACACACACACGCACACACACACACACACACACACACAGTCTCCTACACACACACACACACACACACACACACAAACACACACACACACACACACACACAAACACAAACACACACACACACACACACAGACGTGCACACACACAAAGTCCGACGAAACAGTCTGTTCCGACCATCATCACACACACACACACACACACACAGAGTCTCCTACACACACACACACAACACACACACACACACACACACACACAAACACACACACACAGAGTCTCCTGACGATACGGTGAAACTGCGATGAAACTGCGGCACCAATGAGCCTGGCCCAGTTGGTACACCCATGAATTGTTGAAATGCAGACCCAAGTTCGAATCCAGATGCCAACAGATGAACAAAATAATTCTGAATTACCTGGGGCCAGTCAGTTCAACAACGATAAACTGCCACGAAACCGTCTGTCACACAGCCCCTCGTTTGTTGTCCTCTCTCTCTCTCTCTCTCTCTCTCTCTCTCTCTCTCTCTCTCTCTCTCTCTCTCTCTCTCTTATATAGTCAAACAGAGCTGACCGGTAAACCGTAGGCAGAGAGGGAGAAGGGGACAACAAACGAGGGGCTGTGAATATATCATCAAACAGAACTGCCTACGGTAAACACCGTAGGCAGAGAGGGATGGAGAAGAGGACAACAAACGAGGGGCTGTCACAAACTGTTTCCTCGGAACCCTCAAAAACAGTCTGCAGCAGAATCCCCTAACTGATTACACTGTAAGTGATAATCCACCTTCACCCCGGTTGTGTTTAAGCATCACCAACTGCCCGACAACTGATACCCCTCTGAGGTGGTGGGGACCGCCAACCACTGCCCTCAAGGTACCTGTGACGAAAATCAAAGCAGACTATCACTCACCCACAGGTCCCACACGAGATGGAAAACTCTACACACTGTCGGTTCACATCCCATCACCAGGCACCAAAACGCCCACGAAACCAAGAAAGGTTTATCACAGCCAAACAATACACACTCCAGACACACTCCGCTCGCACTAGAGCCACAGCATGGCCACTTAGTCCCGACCCCGACCACAGATGCTCAACCTGACCGGAGAAGACCGTAGCAGGCTGTGATATCGAAGTCGTGTTGTATATCGTCAAATAGAACTACTCCCCGGTAAACCGTCAGCAGAGAGGGAGAAGAGGACGGAGAAGAGGACAACAAACGAGGGGCTGTGATAAATGTTCGTCGGCAAAGAGGGAGAAGAGGACAACAAACCAGGGGCTGTGATAAATGTCCTTCTTCATCGCCGTTCTCTCTATCTCACTCCTGGCGTTCGCCTGAGTTTGGCAATGCCTTGCCTACAATATAACGATTGTTGTGAGTCAATGGCTGACGACAAAAAAAAAAAAAGAAAAAAAAAAAAAGGGGAAAAAAGAAAAATTGTTAGAAAAGAAAAGAAAAGAAAAAAATGGATTGATGGGTCAATAGTGGTTACCTAGACCCCTTGAATGCCACCATGATGATGATGCACAGACAGCTCTGCCCTTTTGGGCGAAAATAGCGGAGTGTAAGGGGGGAGGCTGGGAAGAGAGAGGGAGGTCGTTTGGAATTGCCACACTCAACTTTTTTTTTTTTTTTTTTTTTTTTTTGCCACACTCACTTATAACGACGCCATCGGTATCTTCCGAGTCTTCAGGTGCGGTGATGTGCAGACCGTGGATATAGACTCGGTTGCAGTAAATCGGATGGACGGCCCACATTGTCGAATTAACCAGCATTAAGTCCGAGATGATGACCTTCTGGGACCACATGAGCTCTATCATGCACGCAGGAGTATTGTTGAATCTCTTCTGGGCAATCTGCGGCCATACCCAATCGCCCTGTCCGTTAATCGTGCCTGGTCCTGCAGACACGTGTGAAAAAAACAACGCGTATAAGATCGCCATCATCATTCTATTCTCATCATCACAATCCTTCTTCCATCCCCATCCATGATTCATCTCCATCATCATCACACCATGATCTTCTTCCTCCTTTTCATTTTTTTCTTTTTTTTTTTTGGGGGGGGGGGGGGGGGGCCGCGCCGGGGGAGTGGACCGTTTCGTGATTTGTACTTGTCAACCATCCTTGTCGTCGCGGATAAGTCATCATCATAAACTTCTTCTTCCTTCTTCTTCTTCTTTTGCACGTTTCTACTGAGAACTGCGCATGCTGAGTTCTAGTGCTCTTTTCTGTCGAGGCATGTGCGAAGAAGCCGGCTATGGCCGCTGTTTTCACTCTTCTTTCTTCTTCTTCTTCTTCTTCTTCTTCTTCTTCTTCTTCTTCTTCTTCTTCTTCTTTCTTCTTCTTCTTTCTTCTTCTTCTTCTTCGGAATGTTGGGTGGTGCCGTAAGGCGGATCTGGGGAGAAGCCCCATGAGGAGAGTGCCAGGTGCGCAGCCTGATTAGCCGAAACGCGCCGGGGAAATTGCGCGTTTTCAACTGAGAACTGTAGTACATGCGAGCGGAGAAGTATTGAAATATCTTGTCGATGCGTGTGCAAGAAGCAGTCTATGGCCACTGTTTTTCAACTATTCTTCTTCTTCTTCTTCTTCTTCTTCTTCGTCGTCGTCGTCGTCGTCGATGCGTGAGTGTGGTTCGCCCCTTGAGAAGTCCTGGAACACAACCAGCCGAAACGCGTCGGGGAATGTGCCCGTTTACTTGGTGAAATGGTTTTCTTTTCTTTCTTTCTTTCTTTTTTTTTTTTTTTTTTCTTTTTTGGATGGAGACGACGGGCACATGTTTGCTCGTGATCGCAATGAAAGTCTTTATTTCGTCCATGAGCGCCTAGCGTTAGCCTCGCTATCTTCTTCTTCGTCCTCTTCTTCTTCGTCCTCTTCTTCTTCTTCTTCTTATTATTATTATTATTATTATTATTATTATTACGAGCTTGTTATGTCTGTGGAGGCGCTGTGATGCCCATTTCGGAAGCATAGACGCTGAGCGATTGGCCTCGCGTTTCAGATCCAAATGCTTCTTCTTCTCCTCCTCCTCCTCCTCCTCTTCCGTCAACAGCTCAGTATCGACTTTTTCACCATATCCGCCTCATTACCATCATCATCAGCAGCAGCAGCAGCGTACGCCATGGCCATCGCCATCGCCATCATCATCATCATCATCATCATCATCATCATCAACAGCATCATCATCATCAACGGAAGCATCACGGAAGGTTCATCACAATCGATTGTCATCACCATTATTGTTAACAAGACTCCAGACTGCTCCGAAATCTGAGTTATCGTAGGGGATGAAAAAAAAAAAAAAAAAAAAAAAAAAGACGGCTGCAAATTTTTGATGGACAGAGTGTCGTGGTGTACATAGTTTAAACTTCGAGAAATCGTTTATATTTTCTGTATATAGATTTTCTTGTAGTACATGGTTGGGGGAAATGGGAATGGGTTGAGACACGCCCCTAGAAAAGGAAAAGGAAATGTACGTAGCTTTAGGAAAGTGACGTTTGAAAACTGAAGGATTTTTTTATTTTTTTTTTCACAAGAACATCATCCCCCTGGATGCCCCTGCTGCAGGCGCGGATGAAAGCCCACGCCTGTTGCAGGGGCATCGGTGTGCGATGACTCCGATCTTATTCGTGGGGAGCAGAACGTGTGCCGCGAAACGGGCCCAAGCGTCCCACATGAAAACAACATTTCTGTCAACACGAAAAAAAAAAGAAAGTAAAATAAAATTAAAAAAAAAATCAGGAAGCTTGTCACATGAAAAAAACAGACAACAATAAAATAAAAAATAAATACTCACCTGTCAGAACAACATCAGTCAGGTACTCTCCATAGATAAGACCACGGTATCGGGGTCCCGGCATATTGCGACCTTGTCCGAAGGACGGCCATGGCGGTAGAAGGGGGTAATGAGAAGGATCCTGCACCGTACAGAAAAAAGAAATTAAGGACACAGAAAGGGAAAAAGAAAAAAAAAAACACGATAGCTGAAGGACTTTCTGTTTTTTTTTTTTTTTTTTTTTTTTGAGGGAAGGACATTTCAGAATCTGTCCTTTTTTCAGTTCCCCATTCACAGGAATAACAGGAATAACCCGCGAGTAACGTAGTTCACAGGTCCATACAACGTCTGGGC